ATATATATATAATTAAGTTAATAAAAATCGACAGATAGGTCGGTTGGTCGTGGTTGCTGTTGTCACCTCTCGTTGTTTAGTGGTCAGAACATTGGTGCGTAAAGCCAAAGAGCCTGGGTTCGATTCCCGGCGGGGGTGTGACAACAGCAACAATTTTTCCCTCATTAATTTAAGGTAGTTTGTAGTGGGTAAATAAAAAATCGAAAAAATGATTTCCAATTAATATTTCATTAATGCTAGTGGGTTTCATTTGTTTTGAGTTAGAATCGGTTGATATGCACTACTCAAGTTTGAAAAATGATTAAATTATTACAGATACGTTTGGGAACATTTAGATGTAGGATATATGCAGGGCATGTGCGATCTTGTCGCCCCATTGCTCGTAGTATTCGACGACGAAAGCTTAACGTACGCCTGTTTTTGCCATTTAATGCAACAATTTTTCCCTCATTAATTTGAGGTAGTTTGTAGTGGGTAAATAGAAAATCGAAAAAATGATTTCAAATTAATATTTCATTAATGCTAGTGGGTTTCATTTGTTTTGAGTTAGAATCGGTTGATATACACTACTCGGAATGTTTCAAGTTTGAAAAATGATTAAATTATTACAGATACGTTTGGGAACATTTAGATGTGGGATACATGCAGGGCATGTGCGATCTTGTCGCCCCGTTGCTCGTAGTATTCGACGACGAAAGCTTAACGTACGCCTGTTTTTGCCATTTAATGGAACGGATGGTGGAGAATTTTCCGAATGGAAACGCGATGGATTGTCACTTTGCGAACATGAGATCCCTGATTCAGATTCTCGATTCGGAGATGTACGAGTTAATGCATTCACACGGTGATTACACGCACTTTTACTTCTGTTATCGATGGTTCTTACTGGACTTTAAGAGGGAGTTGCTGTACGACGACGTGTTCGCGTTTTGGGAAACAATTTGGGCCGCACAGCATGTCGCCTCAACACATTTCGTACTCTTCTTGGCCCTCGCCCTATTAGAAACATACAGGGACATCATCCTGTCGAATAGTATGGACTTTACGGATATTATCAAGTTTTTTAACGGTAAGTTTCCGTTTTATTTTTCTCTTTCTTATTGACTTCTATAGTGTCCTTTGCTTTCCCACTCTTTCTAATGTCTCTCTCAATAAAGTCGACCTTTCTTCTAATGTCGCCCTATCGCTTTATACAGTATAATCTCGATAATCCTAACTAATTTTTGCAAAGGTTTGTTCGGATTAACAAAGAGCAGTCTACTCTTATATTAGACACAGATGTTTATATATAAACTTTATTTTTTAAACAAATTTGGATCATAAAAAAGTTGTAAGATGTAACCGTAGCTCTCGACTTTAAACTTTCAATAATATGAACTTTCTCCTATATTAATATATTTGCGTTTTGGCTTTATTCATAGCTGTTAACGTAATCGCTTTGTAATATGGACAAAAAATAAGATTTTGCATGTCTCCAGCAGTCGCTTCTTATGCGTGGTGACGTTGCCACGCCTGCGCTGTTCGGTCATTAAAGATTTCTTGGGGTTATAACTAGGGTTGCCACCTTTTCAGGCTTTGCATAAAGTATTTCTCGACTAAAAGGTTAAAAAAAAGTACTCAGCATAAAAATAAAGTATTTTATTTTTTGTTTTTAAAAACATATTTTTTGTTACACCTAGCAGCCAGTAACAAATTGTTGTCGCTCTTAAATACATTAATAGCCTCTAAACATGGCAAACAAAGATTTAAGTAAACTAAAAGTTCATTTTTAATTAGTTTTAATGAAGCTTTATTCCTGTCG